ATCGAAGCTCAACGCTCAAGGTCTGCTCCACTCACAACCGACAACGTCGTACACATTGGAGACATCCTCAATAGAGCTGGACTCCCCGATGTTTAAAGAATGCGTCGCCAATGCATCCGCTATGCGTCTGCGATACATCACGAAAAAGGGCTCGCGTACATAGTATCAGACCTGGGCACGAAGGCAAGCACAAGAGTTTACAATCCATTGCGAGACCAAGGGTGCAAGGCACCACTCATGTGCCGCATCGTGGTCCCACGCGCTCTGTGAGGTCAAACGGAACCTCAGCGCATGGCGTGCCAATGATGCAATCAACATCACATCGAGCATAACCCCTCCCTTAGTGTTATCCCAACGTGGACGCCGAAGACGTGCCACAAATGTCGTGCAGAGGCAGTGCAGACGAGGCCAGCAGAAGCGTGAAGAAGGAGGGAAATCGAAGTAGACTGGCATGCGGTCCACCCGAACAACTAATGATGAGGCGAACACGCTAGGAGACCGTCGATCAGAGATGATGGGCCTGTTTTCCACCACCATCACCACAACCATCAGTTGGGGGGAGGAAGGAGGTGGAGGAGGGGGAGGAGGACGAAGGGGCGGAGGAGGAGGAGGAGATCAAAATCAAGATCAAGCGCCGATGGGAGTGGGATGGTCCCAGGGTCTCACTTCCTGGGCCAGACTTGCAAAACCGTTGAGACACCCAACTGTCCTCTCGACAGCGTTGTCAAAACACGCTCCTGCGCTGCTACTGAAGAGCTTCGCTCTGCCAGAGTTGAGGCTCTGGCAGCAAAGACTGCGCGGGCTCGATAGGCAGCATGAGCGGAGAGGCACGCAGCCCGAGGCAGCTGCCCGAAGAGCACTACCTTCCTCGCCCTCTGCGGCCCCGACCCTTCGATCGAGGTTCGCTTCGAAGTTCGCTTCGGTGCTCGACAAGAGGCCCACCGCTAGCACCTCTGGCAACAGCATTTCTGCCCCCCCCCCCCCCACGCACACACACACACACGCACTTTCGCTCCAATCGAGCTAGTGACAGAGGGAGGAGAAACAAAAATCTAAAAAAAGGAGGAGGGCGAACAGGGCAGAGTGGAAATACAAAAAATTCTAGAAGCAACCTCTGTCCCTCTCTCACTCAGTCTGTCCGCCTCGAACATCTCCCTGAACCTCTCGCTGATGATGAACGCTGCCTCCTCAGCCGATCTAGGAGCGCCCGGGCCTCTCTCTCGAGCTGCCCCCGCGGGGCCCCGCCGATCGCCTTCTCCCCTCCCTCCTTCTCCAGCCTCTCCTCGAACATCTTCTTGAATGCCGCCGCCTCCTCCGAGCTCTCTACCATGAACTGCGCCTTCGCTGACTCCTGCGCCCCCTCGATCTTCTTCGCGCGCTTCGCGCGCAGAAACTTGAAATGCTCCGCCGCTTTCAGATCCCCGCCCTCCTTCGACATCTTCTCCTCCCAGAAACGTTTCAGCACATCTAACTGCTGGCTCTCCTCGATACTCTGGCGCAGGCGGTGGGCCGCGACTCCGAACAGCACGAGATGTGGCGGCCCTTGGGGGTTGGGAGGGACCTCTCCGCCAGCCGCCTGCGCCTCTCTCCTCGCATCTGCCCATTCTTGAGCTTCTGAATTGTACAGCTGGCCTGCCTCGAGCAGTTCTTGAGCGAGATCGCTGTCGAGAGGCGCTGAATAAGTGGCGATGAGAGCTCCCATGAGCATGCGCAGGTCGGCCGAATTCGACAGCTCCAGCTTGGCCACCGTCTCGACCAAGCTGTCTAAATTCGGACGGTTGCCTTTGGGCGGCTGACGACCCCCTCCACCGTCGCCTCCGCTGTCAGCAGCTCCCACGGACGGTTGGTTCTTCAGGCTGTTGGCCTTCCGGTGCGCAGGCTCTTGGCTCGGGTCCAGGATCTTCTTGCCAATCCACGCTGGCATTGCAGTCGCTGCGGGCATGTGTAAGAAACTCATGTGCATCACAATCGCAGATCCCGAGCTCGTGAGGAAAATGGCTTCTAACATGCTGGAATAACCCCAGATCGGGCCCGCCGTCGAACTCGCAGATCTGACACCTGCGCGACAAAGCCCCCACTACCTTCAACGAAAAGGACCTCCCTCTCATACAGCATCCTCGACCCAAGGACCCAGATAAATGTCTGGCCGCCAAGATTCTGCCAGCAAGAACCTCCGAGCAATTCTGACATATATTCGAACTAACCAGTAACGACGATAGGTTCCTTAGCCCATGCCCGTGCCGAACGTGTTCAAGTAGCCCCCCTATGCGTAGTAAAAATCTCCCCGCATACCTGGTCCCCACGAGTCATCAAGCACCTACACGCATGTTCAACATCGACACCGGCCTCGGGGCCCGTTTCGGGTACAGCGCCAGGTACGTATCCAGGAGGAGGCATATTCACCGCTAGAAAAGCCTTTCGAAACAAGCACTGGGATCCAACTTGCAAACCTCCTGCGCAGCATCTCTATCGCGGAAGAAAAACCCCATGGACCCATTTGCAGCCTCGAGTAAATCTTCTCTCTCGCACGCTTCGCACAGCGCCACGCAGTCGCTCCAGGCCT